ATTTATGTTTCAAATAAAACCAAATTGCAATATTTAGGAAAAATAGCCGGCTAAAAATATGATATTACATACCTATCCGTTATATTCCTCAATTATATGTGAAAACATGTCAAACCATACATCTATTCCGTGTTTGATTTGTTTTTTTATGGAAATATAAGATTGATTTTTTCCTCTTTAACTATTCATTTTTATCCCAATTACATCAAGTTCAGTTCATATTAGAAAACAAAAATATATGCAACATCAATTTTTAGTTGGTTTGTTAAAAATCTGTATTTTGGTTTAATTTCAATAGTATATATATATATATATATATATATATATATATTATATATATATATATATATATATATATATATATATATATATAATTTACTAATATAAAGGAAAGTCGTTTATAATTTTGGGTAAATAATGGATTTTATGTAATATTCATGCGATGACCCGGAAATGAAAACAGTCATAAACGGGCCAACTTTGGGGCTTTTTGGAGGAAAGAAATATATAAACTAAAGTGAAAGAGAACCTTTGACTTCTTCATTTTGAGTGCTATATATATATATATATATATATATATATATATATATATATATATATATATATATATATATATATATATATATATAGGGACGGATCTTCTTTGGGGCCAAGTGGGGCTGTGGCCCCCCCTGTTTTTTTGTCATAATTAGTCCTCAAATATTAAAATTTTTACATATTATGCCCAAAAGCTATAAAATTTGGCTTTGACCCCCCCGCTCTCCAATTTTCATATATATATATATATATATATATATATATATATATATATATATATATATATATATATAGGGACGGATCTTCTTTGGGGCCAGGTGGGGCTGTGCCCCCCCCCCCCTGTTTTTTTGTTATAATTAGTCCTCAAGTATTAAAATTTTTACATATTATGCCCAAAAGCTATAAAATTTGGCTTTGACCCCCCCGCTCTCCAATTTTCATACTTATTATACTTTCGGCCCCCCAAAGAAAAAATTCAAGCTCCGTCACTATATATATATATATATATATATATATATATATATATATATATATATTATAAACACAGAGAGAGAGAGAGAGAGAGAGAGAGAGAATGTGTATGTGTATGTGTGCGTGCGCGCTTTGAGAACTTAAATATTTGTGAGAACTCGATAACTCTTAATCTGGCTAACATTTTTTGAAACCAACACCACCATTAGACTCCTAGAGTTACATCTAAATCTAAACCAGATCCAGACTTCGAACCTTTATGTGTTTATGAATGTGCATGCATGCACATTTAAAAAAAATTGTGCTTTTTGGTGCTTTCAAATCTTTTTTATCCCAAATCTGGCTTATACGTAGCTCTAGGAGTCCAATGGTGGTTTTAGTTTTGAAAAATGTTAAGCGAATTAAAAGTTCTCAAATTTTTGCAAATCTTCAAAAAATTTCAATAACTTAACCGGGTTTGTGTTTGTGTGTGTGTGTGTGTATATATATATATATATATATATATATATATATATATATATATATATATATATATATATATATATATATATATTTGTGTGTATGTGTGTGTTTACGTAAAAGTTCAACAAGGAACCATTTAAAACCATAGAACCAATTTCATCCATATAATTTATCACTTATGGGGTGTATGCAATAATAACAAAAAACCAACTTTTGTTTTTGGTTTTTTTTTATTTTTATAACTAATCTTTTATCGAAAAAACTAAATACACCATTCATAATTTTATTCTTTTCTTATAGATATCCATATTTATATACAAAAAAAAATTTTAAATATATTCACTTTGTTTTGTTTGTTTTTTTAATATTTAGACAAACTTTTATTGAAAAAATAAAATAACTATATCAAAATTCATGGTTTTTTATACTCTTTATATAGACATTTATATTGATTTATACAAAAGAATTTATTTCAAAATTTTAGCCTAGATTTATGTTGTGAATGTATAGTTCACATTTACAGTCTGATTAATAGTAAGTTAAATTCATATTGTAGATACTAAAAACTGAATTGTATACAACTCAGATTCACAATCTAAATAATAATAAGTTAGATCGCATTGTAAATAATTGTAAATCCAATTCACAATGTGAATTGTAGAAATTGAATTTTATATATATATATATATATATATATATATATATATATATATATATATATATATATATATATATGTATGTGTATATATATATATTAGATTCACAATATGAATAATAGCAGTTAGATTCGTATATTGAATGCTTAAAAGTGAATTATATATTGTTTACATTCACAGTGAATCTCATGAGATCAAGGTGATATATATATATATATATATATATATATATATATATATATATATATATATATATATATATATATATATGTATATTACAAAAAAATGATGAATTTTGCTATATATTTGGTTTTTTATTCGATAAAAAACAAACCTAGATATTAAAAAATACAACAAAACAGAGTTGGTTTTTTTCAGAAAAAAAAAATGTCTTTTATATATAAATATGGATGACAACCAAAAATGGATTAAAAAATTATGAATTTAATATATTCAGGATTTATTTTGATAAAAAAAATTATAATTTCATTTAGAGGTAAATCAAATAGAATATGTCCTCAAAAATGTTAATTAGTAGTTGAAATTGTTGGTGAAGTTCAAACACACAATATAAGAGGATGATGATGGTAATATTATAAATTTTGAAAAGTTATGTTATAATTGTGATTTTTAGTATATGAATAAAAGACAAAATTTGATAATTCTATTACCATTAGCTAAAAGACAAAGAGTAAATTAAAGGTAAGGTCTAACTAAACCAGTTCAGTACTATGACCCTGATTCTGTTTATCTGTTCATTTCCCGACTCTGTTAAGGAGGATCGCTAACCCAATTCTTGAAGGAACTGACCTAAGCATAGCTCTCTCAAATAAAAATGTTCATGTGGTTTTAAAAAAAAATATATATATATATATATATATATATATATATGATAGGTATCAGGATATTTTGGATAGCATTACACCGGTCTTTGGTCCATGTGGTTTTAAAAAAAATGATATGATAGGTTTCAGAATATTTTGGATAGCATTACACCGGTCTTTGTAGTTTCAAAATCAAGCACAATTAGTTTTTTTTTGCTAACTCTGTTAAAAATAGAGGTTAAATACTTGTTAAATAGCCTATTTACCCTTTCTTTATTTCTTTTATTATTTATTTCGGAAACTTTAAACACACTCCCTCCTCTTCACCCTCACCACCAATATCCCAACTGTTAGCATCAACAACATCGATCACCCTCCTCCCCCATCATTGACAGTCCCCCTATGTTCTATCATATCAGCGTCTCTATCGTATCAAAAACTTTCCCCAAGTCTTCATCGCCAAGATTTCCTGTCACCATGGCCCCACCCTAACCAGTCAATGCTCCATCCTTACTCATTATATATGATGTGAAGCTGAACATTCCTCATCAATTCGTTCATGTCAATTTGGTGTCTTTTGGAGTAATATATGTTATTTTCTTCTAGGGTTTGTTTAATGATTTTTTTTCTTAAATGGTGTAATGGAGATAACAGTGCAGAATAGCTCCAAAAGACGAAAGACATTAATGTATGATGGTCAAAGATTTTTTTATTAGCTAGTAGCCTGTATTGGGAGACAGGACTAGAGGCGTGATGTTAAGTAACTTGAAATTTGAGGACTTCGTGCTTTTTATAGATGTGATGCTCTGCACTAGTATTCTTGGTTTTGGTGGAGGCATTGACGACTAATTTGAACCAAGTAGTATAGTAATTTTGTTGGATAATTTAGATATGGTATCAATTAGTGAAAGATAACAAATGAGTTAGGCGCAGGATTGGTTTCTTATTTATTACAATTGTTGTTTTTTTCTTTTATCTCATCATTGTAACTTTCAGAACACGAACCATTGTTGTATTTTTCTTTTTCATCTGAACATTAAAAAATGGCCACCAACATGTTGAAAGAATGACACTCTTGGTACGGAGGTTGAAGAAGCGTATATTAAAAAACAATTAAAAAAACAAAATCTCATTAACATTTTGGGTAGAAGTCATAATAGTAGTAGGTTTTTTGAAATTTTCGCATATAAAAAACATATTTTTAAGAGTAAATTACGGTCATTGTGGTTTAGTCAGATAGATTATGTCCGGTTTCTTGCACTATTTTTCCTTTATCTTTTTTTTTTTTTTATTCATGTATTATTTCACATAAATAATTAAATTATAATACAAATAAAACCAATTTCATCGTCTCGCCTAGACCTCATCTCTATCATGTGAGCATCATCATTGACACCATCGACATTATTTCCATCCCACTAGAAGAACCAAAGCATAAAATCGATCCTAAGCCGTCAATAGATGTCATATCCTCATTGTCTATGAGTCAAAATTGTCATTTGATTCAGATTTTCCCTCAGATAAGAGATTGTTTCGTAAAGGCAAAGTATGGTTGCAATGGAGAATGGTTTGTGAGAATGTGGACGACTCTAATTTACAAGTTCTTTTGCAAAATCAATTGTTTTAGTTTGATCATGGAGGACTCAAGTTTATAGGGTTTCTTTTACAAAAACTCCAAGATTCTATCTCAAAGCATAAATTTGATTCCATTGATAAGGATGCACGATGGATTCTAGTTCTATCAAACCCGAATGATGATTTCCCAAAATCTCTCAGATGAAATAGGTTTTGTTTGTATTCTAATTTAACTAATTATGTGAAATAATACATGTAAAATAACATAAGGGCAAAATAGTCAAGTTAGAAAAGTTGAACTGGCCAACGGTTGGATTTAAGGGACCACAGACCAACAATGCAAGTTTAGAAACCACATAGACATAATCTATCAATTTTTCAAAGATTGGAGTAAACATGCGAATCCGACTAAACCACAAGGACCATTTCTGCAATTTACTCTTTTTTTTAATGTTACTGATATATAACACAAAATGCCCATTTGGTGTAACTTCTTTTTCAGTTTTGGTCCAATGGTAGATTTGCCACTTTTTGAACTTTTAAACTAGATTCAAAATTGGCAATCACAACTTCAAACACATTTTCAAGTTTCAAAAACTCTTAAAAAAGCTATTTAACCATTAACCTTAATTTTCTCTAGAAAAAATAAGCAATTCTGATTTAAACAATTTGGAATTTTTTTTTTATGCCTTCTCTTTGACACTAACAATATATTACCGATTAATTTCTTAACTCTGTGAAGTCATTCAGCTGGCAGTTGTAGCAACTCTCGTATACCTTGTGAAACCTACAGTAACCAAAACAAGTATCATTCAACAGTTAACTTTTTTGGTGCAAATATTTCAGCTGGAATGGCATAATTGTAATTATAGAAAACTTACCATCTTAATTTGAGCTTTGATTTGTGCAATGAGACGAGTGTATTCCTCAATTTGCCTAAAATTGCAATACATTAGAGAATATATAAAACACAAAATTCAATTTTCTTTTTTTTTTTAAAAATAAATAAATACCTAGCAAACTTTTCTTCTCTAGCAGGGATGATCTTTAAAGCCTCAGACCAAGTGAGCTCTACATGAAATCCAAGGCCAACATCTACAAATATGTGGCGTGTATCAGGTCTGCATACATCAACAGTTTTTAGCATAAACTTGTAGTAAAAACTTCTAATTCTATCAACTAAAAACAGATTTAATAAGTTGTGGAATACGTACACATCAGCTTGTGCGTATACTTCAGACCCAAGATTGACCATTGACCTGAGACTTGTTACACTATTCTTTTCAAGACTCTCCAAATTTCTTCTAAGATCTGAGCTACAAGTAAATGGTGTCAAGTGAAACCTCACAAATTAGATAAATCACGTTTTTGTGCAATGATTTTAGAGAAAGTAAATTCAGTTGTTTTAGAAGCAAGAAAGTGAAGGATACAAGACTTTCTGTTGCTCAAAAACTTTGTCCCTGTAATATCAATAGAAATCAAACTAGGGTTTATCATACTAACTCCTGAATGTGTGTATTATTAAAAAGGCTTGAAATACCTTTCACCAATGGCTCGAACAAGGTCAGGTTTTAGGCGCCTATCAACAAATTCCTCAAATCTTTGTATTTTTTCTTCTGTGAGTCTATCTTTATCCATTTAGCTTCTAACCAAATTAAGATATGGAAAAAAAAAAAAAAAAATCAAGTTATCTATAGGTGTGAATAATCCAAATTACAACTTGGGGAGCCTGATCCTTTATTACTTTTATGAGTTTGATCAAAAGAGGATTTCATTTGGGCATTTCATCAAATGGTTCATATGCAAGTAAAGTAGAAACATGTTGAAAAAAAAAACTCTTCTACTGATAAACTACAATGGACTTGAAATTAGATAAAGAAAGGGAAATTTTGAAGGGAAAGAAGCCAGAGCTGATAAACTACCATCGACTTTTTCATACAAATATTTAAACCATGGTCGACTTTAGGGGTTGCAATAGCTGTAAATGTACTAAAAGGTCAACTTTCATCATAAAAAAGTTCCATGGTTCATGTAAATGTACTGTAAAACATTATTTCCACTAATCCCCAACATCAAATTAACAAAACCACAAAGATGATAAAGATTTTGAAATCAAAGCATCACGGGCTGTTTGGAAATCAGTATAAAGACTCCATGGAAAAATCAGCATAAATATTACAGGGGCGGTTTGGAAATCGACTTCCAAGATGGTTCCATGGAAATCGATTCGGAGATGAAGAAGAAAAGCTTCATTCACAGATGGTTCCATGGAAAACGTCCATTCAAAGATGGTTCCAAGGAAATCGATTTCAAAGCTGGAAAAGAAAAGCTTACCGGCGGCGCTGGCGGAGGAAAGCACTGGAGTGGCGGAGGAAGGCACTGGAGTGGCCGAAGGTGGAGTTCGTTCAAGGGGTTTGATGATGGAGATGTGTTTTCTTGAGTTGCTGCGAGAAGATAAAAATGGAAGCGGTGGGTTGCAAGGGTAAATAAGGAAAAGGGATAATTAATTAAATTGGTAATATATTTTTCGATAGTCACTACGTTACTCCCTTCAACTTTTTAAACTGGACACATTCAATCCTTATGACCGCTTACTCCAGGTTAACCGGGAAAAATGACTTAATAGGGTAATATATTTCTTATTTTATACACATTTAATCCTTAATATTTTTATGCACATTTAGTCCTTAATATTTTTGTAAACATTTAGTCCTTAATATTTTTTTATTTCAAAATAAGTCATTTTTGTTTTTGTAAACATTCAATACTTATGAATATTTTATTTAGGTTTTTCTCACGATAGCTTACGTGGAACAATCATTGATGAAGTGTATAGGGTTGTTGATGTTTATGTGTAATATCTCATTTTCACAACAAAAATTTTAAATTAGGTAAAACTCCCTAATGGTAAAACTCCCTAATTGTAAATCCATTATTAAGAAAAAACGTTTATTTCAAAATATATTTATCGAAAATCGGAGTAATATAAGAAACGTGGAATCGTCAGTATTGTTAATGAGTGTGTACAATCATGTATTGCCTTTCTATAATCAACGATAGAACCTGAAAACATAAAAAACTGGGAAAGCACAAAGTTTAGTGAGTTTGTAGCACCTAGTTCCCGGTACGTATTTCTTGTAATTAATAATTCTAAATTCATGCATTTTTGCCTTGGACTCAGCGAGTTGAAGGACCGACTCGCTGAGTAGGAGCGGGATGAGACACGAAGTCTGAGCCTGGGACCCAGCGAGTCGGTTCCCCGACTCGGCGAGTAGGCCCTGTTGGGCAAAAACCCTAACCCGAGTGTTGGCACCCTATTTAAGCACACTAACTCGGCCTCCCTTGTCCCTAACACTTCCAGAGAGCTGTAGTGAGAGACCCTAGCCCCCATATTGTTCTTGTGAGTGATTTTTACTTGGTGAAGGAAGTTTGGAGCTTAGAAGAAGAAGGAGGAGATTGAAGAGTGCAAGGAAGGGAGTAGATCCGAAATCTACACTGTGAAAAGCTTCCATTCAGGTAGAAAAGTTCATACCTTGATCACTAGTTCATTAGATACCATTTTTGTCCCAAATTGGTGGTTTTCAATCCCTAAAACACCAAACTCCATGTGTTTGTGCTTAATGATCCGAAAGGACTTTAGATCTAGACCTTGTGGACGTATTAGAAGCATAAAGTTTTTGTGGATGAAGTGATTGAGGTCCCCATTAAGTGTATGACCTCATAAAAAGCTTGGATTTGCCTTTTGAAGCTTGTAGGGTCATGCATGCACGCAAAGTTTGCAACTTTACGTGATTTAAAATAAATAAATAAATAAAAAACAAATAAATAAAAAGTTTATTACAAGTTCGATTATTTTGCAAAATTAATTGTCAAAACCATATCTACCAATTGATTAAAATACCAAAAATTAAAAACCAACCAAATGCACCTGCATTTAGTTTTCAATTTATTAAGAAACATATATGCATATACAATAAAACCAAATACAAGTGACAATATAACACTTACATTAGTTTTCAAGTTATTCTATCATGGTCAAATTACTAATATGCATTAAGACATTAGGTCAAGTTTTTAACAGGATCATTGCCCCATATGACCCTGATTGGTATGTTTATTTTATTTTTTTATTTTTTCTTTAAACTAAGAGACTTCATAAAAAAAATTGCAACTGTATTAATGTCTACTAAGTTTTTTTTTATATATATAAAAAATAGCATCTATTGCAAGATATACTTGAGAGGAGGTCTTGGTGTGATGATTTTGCAAAAAAAAAAAAAAAAAAAAAAAAAAAAAAAAAAAAAAAAAAGTATTATGTTTATTATTATACCAAATTAATTATTTACATAAACCTTGATGTTATGATTTTAGAAATTTTCAGCTTCTACATTCAAACAACAAAGATATTCAGGATATTTCCGGATTAGCCCCTACTGTCCTATCAGAAAACTTTTACGGATTCCTCGTTAAATGGCATTGTGGACTTTTGGCTTTTGCATTGTTTTGGTATAACTCTATTTAATTAATAGAAACGAGAAGTGAAAGTGAAACCATTGATGGAGGAACTCGCGGGTGGAGCAGGCGGAGGAGAAAATGAGCGATCTTCTATGCTGTAAGCCTGTAACAAAAACGTACATGTTACCCTTCCTAATTTACAGTTTTGGTCCCTGTGGTTGGCATGTTCCGCACTTTTAGTCCAAGTTTTGAAAATTTGACATTGTTAGTACTCATGGTTACCAAATCTTTGCAAGATTGATCCCTGGTCCATGTTAAGAGACTATCTTACCCTCTTAACTTCTTTTTTTCTTTTTCAAAACTTGGACTAAAATTGGTAAACAATGTCAACCACAAGACCAAAACTGCAATTTACTCTAAAAGAATTAAATAAACAATTAAAAATAAATGTCTCTTATCGGTTCAAGATGAAATTAGTTTTTAGCGGTTTGGATCGGTTCTTGACCAAAACCAGATGGTTTTGATCAGTTCTCAAATAGCCAATTTTTTTTGGAACTAACCGAAACGATAAAGCCATCTGTTTCGGTTCAACTGGTCCGGTTTTCAAAACCTCGGTTTAATGTTGTTTAACTAGGTAAACTATTTTAATTGCTTAAAAATTATAATTAAGCTAAACTTTCAATATGAAACGATATAAGTTACTTTTACTTTGTTAAGAAAAATATATTTGTGACGTTTTATAGTTGTTTGGCTGGTAAATTAAAGGTTAATGTCATAATTGTTAGGTGATCATCATATTTTTTATGACATTAATCCTTATGCACCCATTAAACGAATTATATGAGGTCATCATCAAATTTTTTAATAGAAGTAATAGCAACTTACTTTTCAATAACATTTTTTTTGTTATAAATGTATTTTGAATGGTAGAAAACTATAAATGATTTGTTACCCATTTTATATATTACCGCATAGCAAATATATTTGTGTTCCTTGCTAAAGTGATCTCATTTTAAGTTTTTACATACTATTCTTTAACCCGTTTATTACTCGTTATTTCAAAAGTTTGGTTTTAACTCCAATATATCCTTGTCGTAGAGTACTCCACCTTTTTTTTTCCGAGAACATCCCAATGAGATTTATTTCAACACTTATTACTATTCAAAAAGGTTATTAAATGGTTTTTACTACACAAATTTCAAATACCCACGACAATTCTTCTACCAAACGGCCTATAACCTAACAGTATCAGGATTTGTTGAAAAGATACCCCTCAACCAACTGCTTTAGGATTTGAGGTTCAAGACTGACCTAAGTCATATATTACTTGACTTCTTCTAGATCAACCATCGAATCATTTCTTCAACGTGAAATGCACACCACACATGTCTACAAGGTTCATTAATAAAAAGAAGTTTAATTAATATGCATCCACATTTATAAAATGTTACTAAAATCACACATAATAATTAGTCATCATACTTACAAGCTTCAACTTCCAACTATGGTTAGGTCGTATAATTTGGTTATGTGTTGAATCTGTGACTATGACCAACCTTTGGCCCATATAGGAACCGAGTAAATCAAGGTCCCAAAACCAAATGATACAATCATAGTTATGAATGCATACACATACGCTTTCCAAGGATCCACACTCTCTCTCATTGCTCCAAATTCAGCAATGAAAGTTGAAACTGTACTCAAACAACCACATAACCCAAACTGTATCCCTGTTGCCACAATACCAAAATGTTCATCCTTCACCTATATATTTATCAATGTCAAAAAAAAAAAAAAAAAAAAAAAAAAACACATATGTTTTAACAACCATAACACCATTCAAAACATACAAAGAAGAAAAAGAAGAAGAAGATTTACAGATTTCTTCAATGTTGCAAAGGTTGCCATGATGCAGGAGGCTGATACATTTGCAATCAATGTCCCAAAAGGCATCCATTTCATGATGTTTTTTCTTCCTAATCCTTTTCCATTGAATTTTGCTAAATAGAATCTGATCCATACACCGATTGGTCCAACTATACACCCTAACCATAAATGACTTGTACTTTTGTCACTCTCAAAATCCCTTTTCAATAATGCTATACTCACCCCCCATAACAACCCAAGTAATGTAATCATTAAAACTATCAGTATACTTTCACTTATAATGTTGTTCTTTAATTCAAACCCACATTTGGAATTTAGATTTGTTTTGTTAAAGACCCATTTCACACCCTTTGCTGTTTCCACCCCGAATATGAATGAATATGCAACAAGAAACAAGCCTGAAAAGATTAAGCAATTAAGCAAAAGCATGAATGAAAGAAGCAAAGCTTGGATTTATGTAAAATGTGGAATTACCTAAAAGAAATCCAAGAAAAGAGAAAACCCATTGACCATTGACACTAAGCTCAAGCATTTTCTGATTCCAACCACTGAATGTGGTCAGACTCCCTAAGTAACCTGTGGTCAACCCAACTGCCAGCTCAGGGGAGAATTTGGAGATATCTCCTTTGAAAACAACACCAAACCAACCCATCAAGAAAGAACCAATCTTCAATTATATGACAAAAAAAAATTATAAGATGATATATATAATTTGTTAGAAAGTATGATATGTCATTATTATGAGAGTGAAAGAAAGAAAGAATGATACCATATTGGGAGGAAGGTCTACATACATATAGCTATTGTCACTTGTAGCACCTACCACTTGAGGACCAAATAGTTTTTCTAGTAGGTACCTTGTCAATACCTTCATTTTAAAAAAAAAAAAAAAAAGTTTATATTAATGATTGGAAAAAGATGGTTTAGAGGTTATTACTTATTACATTACCCCAAGAATGCCAAGTACAGCTAGATGAACACGAGATGAAATATATGTCATGAACCATGGAAGCTCTTTTTTACAATCCTACATATGAACAATATGAACAAGTGTAAATGTTATAAAACATGGACTTTGTTATAGAGTATAGACTTATAGTTATAATCAAAGAGTCAATGATATGATATGATATAAAGAAACTTACTTGATTCTGGCCTTTGTCATGTAATATTGCATCTGGTGAAGAGGGAGATGGAGTTGGGAGGTGTGAATGTGATTCTTTAAAAGAATGTTGTTGAATAGGAAGTACAAGATTTTCTTCAAAAGGGAACACAGGTCTTCCACTTTCATTTCCACTATGTCTTTTACTATGAAGTGCTCTATCTCCAATATCTCCTGCTTCTGAAACTGATAGTTGATCACTGTCATCATTAGCTCCTGATTGGTTGAAATTCAAAGACTGCCTCCTGAATGAAGAATTTGTACTGCTGATTCGACTAAAAGATCCACTTCTTCGTGGATCACAGTCATTGTGACCATAATCCATTAGCCTTTTGAAACCTTTTTCCTACTTCAACAGCTTTAAAACAAATGCAGATTAAATTAGGAGTCATATATGATAGTTATACATGTATTAAAACAAGAACAAGTTAACTACTCCACTTATAAAAAACAACAAGAACAAGGTTTCATAACAAGTGATGTCACCTGCTGAATTATTTAAAGTCTTAAGTATTAAATAATCATAAACTAGAAAAAGAAGATATATTATATAATACCATAGTTAAAATTAAAAGAGCCATCAACTTATTTACAGACCAAAAATGTTTCATGCAAATGAAAACTAAATAAGTGTTTCAAAACATCATTAAGTGGAAAAAGGTTATGTTAGGTTAGTGGTCAACCATCATGATCAAGTTCCATACACATGAATAACAACTAGAAAAAGGTATTTGTTGTCCAATGAAAGAGAAAAAAAGACCAATCAATCAAATCCAAATTCGTAACACAAAAAGTTACTCTTAATCATAAGTCATAACCTCCAAAATGAAGGATCATGGAAGGATCTGAATTAGTAAAATTCGTAAAAACACTAATATGGGGGTTTTTTTAGGGGAAAAAGTTCTGAGATTGCATCATAAAGCAAAACTTTTCAGTTACCTTTTGGGAATAATTAATTCACTAATTAAACAAGAAATGGATCTGTTAGTGCGTTTATATGTCAAGGATTAAGAATTACTAGTATATAATAATATCATAACGAATCTAACTACGATAACAGAACTGAAAACGAAAAATCGCAAACATAGAAACTACAAAATGCGACAGCTTGAGAGAGAGGGTGTAAACATTGACCTGAAAGAAGATGATAGACGAAATCTGATCGGGCGTTGAACGGCGACGGATTATGAGAATCGAACGGCGGCGGCGGAAGTGATGCCGTGGATTAGTGATTTGTTTGAGTAATAATCTTTATTTGGTCTCTCATGGATCGCTGACCAGACGTATCTTTTCTGCTGGAGTTTTGTCTTTGTTCCACATGAATCATGCGGTTCTCGTTCGCTTTACACATAGAAAAAGAAAAGTTTGGAAAGCGGCATTATGACATGGACTTATCTCTGTAACCAGAAGCTACAAACGGAGCTCTGTAAAATTTGGTTCGGAGTCTCGGACCGATGAATTGGGGACGGCCAGCGTCGACTCCCAACTCCCAACAGTGAAATTTTAAATCAAGAGAGGGTGATTTCTTTATTCTTACAAGAGTCGATTAATTTTTATAAAATTTCGTTTTTTTAAACTGTATTAAAGAAAAAATAATTTTTTTTTTAATTTTATAATTTTTTCTTAAATTCCTGTATAAATGTTTTTGTGAATTTTGTTTAAAATTTTGATTTTTTTTAAATATTTTCTTTTTTAAATTACTTTGTATAAAGTTGTGTTTTAAAACTATCTTTTATAAACTAGGTTATTATTTTCTTAAATTCATAAATTATAAGTTTTTTTTAAAACCGTAAAAAATATAAAAACACATTGAAAACAAATAATACTAGTAAAGGTTAATGTTATTATAATCAAACCAATTATTATTTTTGGTTATAAATGGTCATTGAAGTTTTTTTTTTTCATTGTGGCTCCTTAAACGTTTAAATTACGGATTAAACAGGGGAATATCCTAAAAATGAATGGGTTATCCGGTTGCTTAGATGAGCTGACGTCCACATGACATTTTGATCAATTGAAGTGATCTACATGGTGCTGACATGATGTCCATGAAGATTTTTTGTTAAAAGTTTTTTTTTTAATTTTTAAAATTTTTAAAATCTTTCTCTCTCACACACCTAATATAGGCTGGAGCTTGTTTCACCATCTCCACAAGATCCCCATCATTACATATACTAAAGGCAAAATGAAGCTTAATTATGTAAAATTCAAACAATCAAAAATTTAACCATAAATATGATGATTTATAAAACCTATTAGAAGAAATTGTTCACCTCATGAGCATCTTCGCAATTCCTTATGAGTGTCTTTACAATTTCCTTTACCTTTCACCAATTTTCTTGCAACATTTTAAGCATATACATGTATGCTCCAGACCTGGATAAACATTATGACTCAAATGCTTAATTTTCTCTAGTTTTGCACTGAAATCACTTTAAAGCTTGGCACCAACGACAATGGCATAGGGTTCTGGGTGACTAGGTTGGAGTTTGGTGAGATAGAATAGCAAGAATGGAAGGAATATTGTTTTCTTATGATTGTTGTTGATGCAGGGGAAATGGAAGTGGTGGAATATTTAATTGGTGATAGTAAAGAGGCGAAAGCAAGGGATGGAGGGTACAACTTGTTAGGGTTTTGGAGGATACATTGTTAAGGTTATTTTTGATCGGTAGTAGAGACGGTAGAGGGTTGAAGAATCTTGGAACATCAAATTGTCCTCCGCCCAGTAATTGATTTTGTTAACAAAGCTTGATCTTAAAAGTAATCTTCTTTTGTGTTCTGGTATGTTTTAGAAATAGGTGATGAACAGATTGCTTGGATTCTCTAAATGTCGTGATTCACTCAATCAGATGAAATTCAAATATTATGAAATAAGAAAATGTATGTGAAATGTTCTTAAATAAGTGTCCTAGAAAATAACCAAAGTACGACTATATGATTCATGTCCGAATATTGTCACAAGACAGTTACAAACTTTCATAAAACTACCAAAACTTTCATAAAAACAGATCTTAGGGAATAGGGTCAAAATGAGTCCATTTTCTAAAAATCAGATTTTTTGACGCATTTTGTAATATAACAACAAAACCCAAATAAAAAAATTATGCACTAACCTGGTAGCTCGACCCCAGCCAGGGGCTCTGCCCCTTTGACCCCTAAATAACAATGTACTTTGAATCTTGAAAACTTGAACATGTGTGCACTCTTGCACCATCCTAATTTGTTCAATATTCAACAAGATCACTTTTGGTCAAAAAGAAATTAATCCTATTACACTTAAATAATATTGATGATAATAAATCATCAACAGTATGTACTGGTTCATGTCCATCAAAAATCAAACACTCCATCTCTATCTATCATTCCATTGAACACCACTATCTCACATGTTACCCACCTGCAAATCAAACAAGAGATATATAAGAACTCATTGTTTTAGTGAATAAATGAGAAAAAGGGTATGTGTGGTTTATCTTCCCGATTTATGTTACCCACCTTGAAATCAAACGAGAGAAAACAGAAGGGTGAAAAGGAGAAGCAAACGTAATAAGATATTCTATTTAACAAATAAATAAGAGGGGGGGGAGGGAGGGAACATACCTGCAAAATCTTTTCAAGTAAGAAAAATGATGGGTTTGAAATGGATGGGTGAGAGACTCAGATGATGTAACGTCTGCAGATTCGGGCTAGTCAATTTAGAGACAGTAAACGTTAAAACTAACTTTTTAATAGAATATTATTTAACATAAATAATCTTAACCAAAGTTACAGTATTTGTCACAAGGATTTTGTACATATAAAGAACGCTGAAATTTGACTTATAACGAAAAAGTTGTGATATGTCGAAGTTTTGCGATTAAACTATCACGATTCTGTGTAACGTAAAAAGTGAGTTTGTGATAGGATACTTTTTAGCCTTAGTGACCTAAACAAATGTTGTAGTACACGTTAAACAGAGATCGTGCATATAGATAAAGACCAAATATGACTCCATTTGAGGAAGTTATTAATTTTCTAAGATTTAGCATAAAGTACACAGTCTGGAAATCGAATTTTAGATCGATCGATTTTTAGCCGACACAACCTAAACACGAATCGAAGATCTCGTTAATAAGAGCTCAACGATATAAATATAGTCGAAAACGGATGTCGGATGACAAAGCTATGAATTTTTAACGGACTTTAACTGTCTAAGTTTGTTAAAATATAACTTTAAAAATTAAATCAAAATTAGCCGACGAAGTCTAAATGAAAGTTGTAGATCACGTCGCTAGTCTCTACCTATGCGTGGGTATAAAGAACCTAAAAACGTAGCTCGTATGCGAATGTTACAAAATTTAGAAGATAATTAATTTTTGGGTTAAGCTTCGGAAGTGACATGTGACAAGATTTGGACTGCACCTTCTTCCCCACGGCTTGGAACGATATGGCAACACATGGCTTGAGTACTCCCAGCATGACTCTATGTATGCCCCACGTAATGAGTATGCCCAGCTTGCCCTTGCGTACGCCCAACGTACGTGAGTGTTGGCAGCCTATAAATAGAAGTTGTTTTTCCCTCGTTTCTCCACACCTATTCACCCATTTCTCTCCCAAGCACCCCCAAACCCTCTAAGCCTTTCCCTAGCACCTCTTAGGTGTTAGTAGCGAGTACCGGAGAGTCAGAAGGCCCAAAGAATAAGTGCTTTTAGCTCAGAGGTTCTGCCCGTGCAGAGCCCAATTCCTCGCTAAATCCCCTTGTAAGTGAGTTATGCTTACAATACTTTAAGTATAATTTATGTTTAAGTTCATTATTTGTGACAATCGTCAATCTTGAGTCAAGTCAAGTCATCAAGTCAAGCCGGTCAACTCGATTAAACCTTGTGTATTAGGGTTTGTGTTATGTTCATACTGTATAACTTGCTATTTTAATGGGAAAACATCACTTGAGAAAAGTCTTGTGTTAAAAATTTCCTAAGCCCTAGTGCTAATCAATGAACTAAACTGATAAAAACAATGATGCATACTCATCGGGAGTGTGTAAGATCCTTAAACAAGGCTTAACAGGGTTTACGAACCATGCATTGCGATGCCGGACACTCACAATTGTCACACATGGATCCTCTCTCAATCGTTTTCACTCTATCTCTCTCTATGTCAAATCTCTCCCAAATCTCTCCAAGTATGCGAAATCTCTCTCAAATATCTCTCTGTATGAGAAATCTCTCCAAGAATGTCAAATCACTCCTAAATCTCTCCCAGTATGTGAAATCTCTCTCAAATACCTCTTTGTATGAGAAATCTCTCCAAGAATGTCAAATCTCTCCAAGTATGCGAAATCTCTCTCAAATATCTCTCTGTATGAGAAATCTCTCCAAGAATGTCAAATCACTCCCAAATCTCTCCAAGTATGTGAAATCTCTCTCAAATACCTCTTTGTATGAGAAATCTCTCCAAGAATGTCAAATCTCCCCCAAATCTCTCCAAGTATGAGAAATCTCTCCCAAATCTCCCTCAAATAGTTCCCGTAACTTTTTAGAATCATTCGGGTCATTCCGGCTCTTAACCGGGTCAAAAACGGCTTAAAACGGGGCGAAAACGCGAAAAACAGATCTTAAGAACCGAAACCCCTCTTAGGAACCGAACCCTCCTGATGAAGAAGGCTGCTGAACCGAACCGAAGGTACTGTTCACTACAGTTCATTCGGTTTTTGACTTCTTGCCTTCTATCTCCGAACCGAGCCTCTGTTGGCTAAGGGCGCGAGGACCGAGCCTCGGTTCTCGGTCGCCTCATCTGTTCCGCCTCTCTGTCTCTTCCCTTCTCTCGCTCTGTCTCTGTCGCTCGCTCCTCGCTCTGTCTCTACTCGCGCCCCTCTGTTCTCTCTTCTCCCCTCTCGGTTCCTTCCTTCCTTCTTTTTCTCTCTCGGTTTCTGCCTCCCTCTCTCTCGGTTCAGCACCAGAAGGCCGAACCTCGGCCAGACTTCGGGAAATTGTCACTTTTAGCCCATTTTTGATATTTTTAACATTTTAAGCCCGTTTTTCGTGATTTTAAAGCGGGATTTTCTCTAGAAATTATATTTTAACATAATAAACTCTAAATATTCATAATTTAAACATATTTTGATGAAAATCATTATTTAAATAATAAAGATCTAATGGGGGATTTATTTAAGGTGGAGTGTTGACTTTGCCTTAACTTATGACACAAGCAACCACCCCACACCCACTCTATGACCAGCCATACCTCCCCACCTTACCTATGTCACTTCAATGTCCCCTTACACTCAAATTTCACTCACTCCCACGTTTTTTTTTGAGCTGGAACAAACAACCACACTCTTCATTTTCT